ATGCACAAGCCCTTGAGATGGAGCCCTTATTCTCTGGTGTTTGTAGTTCTTTGTTTATGAAAAATGGTAGTTGAAATTAAGTACACCAAGTGGAAGCTTTTGCTATCTTCACAATGATGCCTTTTTGCAGTTCTGAGTGGTCTGACTGCCTTGCAAGCTTCATCAGTTCCCAGCATCCATAAACAATTGCTTTTGTCCCTAGAAATGAAAAAAGATAGAAGAGGTGGAAACCCTAGGATAACAGGGTCTCTATTGAATTTCCTTGGCTCAGAAGAGCTGACAGGCCAAGGAAGCCAAGGTTTTAGAAATGTTTCAGACCGAGAGATGGCGAGGGGTTGGTCACTACAGAAATATGCCAACTAGCATTTGCTGTGCAATGGGCAGTGCCAGGCTGCCTTTGTTTAGTTCAGCCTAGTTCTAAACCAGGGGATGATTAGGGGTCTTTTCCCTGTGCCACTTCTCACGGTGGATGTAGAATCTGCATTCAGAGCAATTACTGCACTGCAGCCACTGATATCGATTTGTGAAGCTCTCAAGTCTAGATGACAACTTAGCAGGCTTGATGGTGATTAAAATTTTAGGAAGCAACTTTCTAATAGGGCTGTGGGGGTTTTACATTTTTCATAATGTGAGCATCTTCTGTGTACGGGCAGTGGGGTCACTGCCTTGCACTCCCCTTGGCTTTTTTAAATCCTCATTTTCTCAGAAGTTTTTTTTGTCTTTTTTTTTTTTTTTTCTCTTTTCTTTTTTCAAACCATCCGGACAATTATACCAACAAAACACAAAAAGCTAATCACAAAAATACAGTAGGCACCGTTCAGCATAAAGTACTGCAAGCATATCCCTGGTGTACTGACGTTTCAGGGAGTATTACAGAAAGCCTGAGATTAAAGGGACGGACAAAGGGCATGCTGGCATTTTACCATAAAGTGAAAACATAGACCATGGCAAGAAAAAAAGTTATGAATATATGAGTGATTGGTCTTTGGGAACAGATGCTGAAAGGGAAGAACAGAATTGAGAAATATGAGAAGAAAGCTGCAGGCATAGCTAACAAGTTGCTCAGAATAGGGCAAAATTTTGGACAGTCGTTTATTTTTAGAGAAATTTCTGAGAGAAATCGGTAACTGAGTGGGTCCCAGAGTGTTGTTTATCTGTACCCCCATTCTTTGCAGGGTGCTTGGTTTATAAATTAATGATTGCGCAGCACTTTTCCTTGTTTAACTTGTGAAGCATGTGTTCACCAGGTTGCACTGACGATGTGCACAAAATATAATGACATAGAGCAGGCAGTTTTACCAAGCTAGGAACACTGCATTTGAGGCTTTGCTGTTATCTAGGGCAAATCCAGTACATAGTTTCTTTCTTCCATGTGTGAGGCTTGTATTTATTGATCCCTTTAGCTTTGGTATAAGAACCTTCAAATCCTGTCATCAGTCAGGACTGCAATTCCTTTGTAATCAGTTAGGTTTATTCATTTTGTTTCTTATTGATGCCATGGGCTTTAACACTGTTACTTAATAATACTCAGGCTTGTAGAAGTACATTGTCCTCCTCAGCTTCTAGGGATGATCCTTTTTTCCCCCGACCAAATGAAAAAGCCAAGAAAACCCACTACTAGCATAGTCGCATGCTCAGTAGTGTTGTGATAGATCTGGTTGACATACTAAAAATTTAAGTTTTCTGATGATATTCCAGAGTTCCTAACACCTTGTTTCCAGTAGATGCTTTAAGAACTGATTGTCCTCTGCATGTAAAAGGAGATGTCTGTCTTCCTACAGAGTGTGTGTTCTTAGGTGTGGTGCAACTCAGAGCATGGTATTTATCTCCTGTATATGCTCATTGTGGTCAATATGGCATTTCAGAACGTCTCCTGGCTTTTACATGCCATGTAGTAAATAATACAGCTGATGTAAGCTATATAAAACATTACTCTCCCAGAGAGAAGGTGGCCCAGGACATTCTCCTTCCCCTTTACTTACATTCTATAGTTTATCTATAATGCATGTTTTTAAATGTAGGTAATAAGGTCTGTTGTGTTACCTCCTTTGGGACCTTTGTGTGATCACATGTGAGTGTCTGTAGTGTAGGTGTCCAGACATCTTATATTCAATGGAGAGAAATGGCCCTTTCTTGGATAAAGTTTGTCTTCTCATGAAGTCATATCTAACACTGTTCAGATGATCCATGGTGCAAAACTGCCTGTTTCTCCTCACTGCCTACAAAGAGAGTTGAGTGTGATTAGCTCAGAGTTAAATATCTATAGTGTATAGATACCCAACTGGGTAAGATGAGTATTTACATGTCTTTTCAGGTAGTATGGAGGGATGTATAGAGAAATATCACAGGGCAACCATGGAACAAGATAGCATGGTACAAGAAGATGTCACATTAAAAATTTCTGGTCAGTAAGCTCTCAGCAGAACCCAGACAGGAGTGATATGTTTCTGCGTGTCAGCTGTGTACAGCTAATATTTATTTGAGCAGAAATGTATTTGTATTTTGCCTGTCCTTTGCAACTGCTTGTTCATGTTATCAGTTAATATTATGGGCCTGACTATGGCCTTGCGCTGTCACAAGTAGTTGAAGCCTGTTATATATCAAAGCAATGAAACGTGTATTTTCTAAGGTAGGAAGAAAGATCTTGCAGATAAGAAGACCTGGATACGGTTCTTGCCTCTACCTCGGATGTCCTGTTTGACTTTAGGAACTCCCTTAGATTCTCTGGGCCTTAGTTTTCATCTTCATTTGTCATCACATTTCTTATTCGCAGGGGTTAGGAGATATCAAAAGAAAGGAAGCCCTTGAGTAGATGAATAATGTTTATCACCAGTCATGTTTCAACTATCCTTGTTCTGTACATCCTTGGGACAATTGATGACTTAATTCTACCTTGAATTGAAGCTTCTGCAGTCCCAACAACTGGCTGTCGTAGCGTGAGACAGTGATATGCAGGTCACTACAGCTGTAGCCTTCTAACTTTCAGGGCTTGGTGGGTCCAGATATTTATATGCTGCTCTTAAGACATTTAAGAGTTTGATATAAATTATGGCTCATATCACAAGTGAAAACAACAGTGACAATCCCATCCCATCCATCAGTGAGATGTCTCATTCTGAATTAACTGCCTTTGCCTGAGAAGGTGCAATAGAGGTGTTCCTTGGGGTCGGAATAGCACTGTGAAAAGGAAACTCAAAAAGCACTTGACTGTAGACTCACAGGCTTTAACTAGGGCATGTACTTTGCTGGATGAATACCATTGTTTTATGACAAAGTGTTCAAATTGGTGGGATATAATCCTTGTTTTTTTGGAGAGTTCAAAACCCTGTGGGACTGCGTGAGGCCGGGAGGAGGAATGCACTGACAAAGTTGTCCTGTGTCTTCTGCAATATCCCAGTTCCAGGTGTGCTTAAAGCCCAGTTGAATAAACAAGACTAAAAAGGAGATATGCCAAATTACAAGCTTAGTCCTTCTGCAGTGTTTTAGAGGTGTTTGTCACTGGCATCTATCTATCTAGAACTGAATTGTAACTAACAGGCCCAGCGTTTTGGCCGTAAATCTGCTGATGATAGCAGGAAAAGGAAAAATGCCCTAGGAAAGTACTCCCTTCCCACCCACTTGGTGTCAATTACCGGGAAGCAGAGATTTTAAATGGAAGTTGAATGTTTAGGAGAAAAAGACTTTGCTATAAATGATATTAAAAATGGTGAAGAGGTAAAAGCAATGCTGGCTCAGAGTCTTTTCTGAAATTCCAGTCCCTAGCAAAGGAGAACAAAAAATCCAACCCCTTTCTAGCTAGAGAATTGTTACAGACTTTGTCAAGCAGAGCTAAGGATTAATCAGGACACAAATAGTCTTGTTATTGTTAACATTTTTATAATGGTTATTAGTTAATGTGCATGATGATTAAGGGCTGGAGCTGCCTCTGATTGCAGTCAGTGGGAACTGAATTAAGGTCTAAATCACTGTTTGAACCTCACTTTTGATTTCCTGAAAAATAATGAGGCTTTGAACAGAACAGCATCTAATTTGTCTATCACTGGAAATGAACGTTTCTCTTTCTTCATGCATCTATTAACTTGGAGGAGATCAGGCAGCTAACAAGAAACTGGTTGTTTAACCCTTAGCCTTAATCCAGGGTTATGACTTGGATGATAGGACCAAGGCCAGAAACAAGGCTGATTGTCGGAAGCACTGCTGCGGCTGCTGTACAATGGGATTGGCACATACCTGCAGTCAGTACTGCTGCAATTCAGACTGCCCATCAAACCACTGGCCATTTGGACCGTCCCAGGGAGTTGTTGAGGCCAGCAGTGCCAGTCCAGGGGAACTTCCACAATGGATGCAAAGCTTGAGTCCATAAACCCCTTATTTGCTGTGCTCAATGTCTTTATGTTGTTGCTTGTTACTTCAGAGTGAACACACAGTCATTTTCTGAGTCAATCTGACATTTCCTTTATTAATGGAACACTGTTTTTATTAGATCAGAAGTGATAAAATGTCTCAGGATGAAATGGGTTTTTAAAATTTCTTAATTAATGAGGGAATATTGATCATTAAAAGTGTCAATTAAGCAAATGTGCATAAAATGTCCAATATAAAGGAACAGCTATAATTAGTATGCTGGCAAACACTATTATCCCATCAATTAAAGTCTTCTGAAACTGAAATGCATCCTTCTGACCAAACCAGGAGACACATTAAAATGTCAGGCGCCAATGAGCACAGAAACAAGTCTTCAGGTGGAAAGAAGTGAAGTAAAGGGGTGAGAACTAAAGAACTCATAAGTACAATGGCGTTGATTTGATAAAATGGTAGAATTTCTTTCAAATTTTCAAGTTTATTCTAGGGAAAACTCCAAAATGCTTTCAAGATGATCAGTTCTTACTTGTGAGCCTGAGTTTAGGTCCAGCTAAACAGGATCTCCTGTGGAATTAATATCTCGAACATCCATGGTATCTGTTGTTTTTAACGCCTTTGTATCAATCTGTCTTTTACAGGTCTATGATGGGGTCCAGTAGAGAGCCTGATCTTGTGCACCTGGAGGCAAAGACAGTGGATGGTCGTAAGTACATCTGCTTCCAAATATTGTGGTATTCGGGACTGCTCTCATAGTCTTGTAACCACACGATATCATGATGGAAATCTGACATCTCTTTAGTGATTCATTCATTTGATATGAGGGGTTCGACTACTCCAAGGCAGTCTGTCAGAAGAGAAGTCTTTTCAGCAAGGCAAAAAGTTGGGATTAACAGGCTGTGAAAGGAGCCAAGAACATGAAAAGGAAGAATAGGTGATAAATAGTAATTGGGGTTAGTATATACCACGCTTTTCTTTCTTCCTATGTGATTTTTCTTCATGGGAATGTGGCATTGGAGAGAAGTTCCTGGGACACAGAGTCTAGCTGCTGCTGTTTCACACAGTACATAATATCGTCTTGTTCATCGCTTTACAGTTTTAACAGACCAGGACACTCTGCCTTAGGTACTACGTTTGAAAATACCTCATTTCTCTTGCATTAGAAACCTTTTAATGACCAGCCTAAGTGTATTCTTCACTGTCATTACTTGTCCTGTCATTGTCCTTCACTTTCATCAGCTCCTCTCCCTCCTTGCTTTGCCTCTTGAGGTGCTTTTCTCCATTCCAGGAGCCTCCTTTACCTGCAACTCCAAAATATTCTTCTAATTGGCTGTAAATTCTCTCAGGCACCCTAAGCCACCTTTTGGCCTTTTCTCCTCCCACCCATGCTTCCTCAAGGTTTATCTTTGAGCTCCGCTGCCTTTGCAGATCTTCCTCCATAGATTTCTTTTCCGCAACACTGGATTGCCTCAGGCAGGCATCACGCCGAAAGCCTGGCTGTCACAGATCTCATCATTGTAATTCCATATTGTTTCCTCTGTAAATAGCAGCTTTGCTGCAACGTAACAAGCAGATTTTTACCATTTGCAATATATAAGTATTGATGATGCAGTCAATTAATTCCTTTAAAAACTGATAAAATTCTCCCCTGAATTGTACCCCCAAATGCAGTGGTCTTACTTAAAATGTGTATTTTGTCATCGGACACTTGAAAACTGTCAGAAAAGGTAACTGTAAGGTAATCAGTTTTTTAACTCACTGAAATTTAACATGAAAGAGAATTTTTTGGAAGATGAATTTTGAAAAGAAACAGTTGTGATAGAAACCATAAAGTTTTAAAGGTCTTTCCATTTCAAGACATGCAAGATTAGTAAAACTGAAAGAACATATTATCTCTATTTCTTATCATTTTTGATCTCTGGTTATTATTTCTCCTCTCAGTTTCACTTACCTGAACGTGGTGGCAAGGCTGGGAACATGAGGCTTTCTATTTCTTGGGACATGCTAAATGAGAATGAAATATTCTAACAGGACAGTGTCTATTTCAGCACAAAACATTACTGTTATAAGGCATGAAGAATTGGAGGTCATTGAGATGAAGCACTACAATCCATGTTTAAGGAGCTATATTCTGGTGAAGCTTTTGAGGGATGCTCAGCTCACAGTGGGCAGAGAAAGGGCCATGCTCCAAATTCCTTGAATGGTCTTGTTTCAGTTCTTAGGCTGTAATAAGAACATTTTGCACAGCTGTAGCATATTTCTGCAAAAGACTTCTTGAGTGCTTAACAAATTAGTAAGCTTTATTACAGCTCTTAACGTGGAACCCCAAAACCAGGTATATGAAGCTGGCCTTACTGAGGAGTCAGGCATATTAGTAAAGAATTGTGGAATAACAAATTATTGCCCATCAGCTGAGCTCTAGTGACTGATTCTGTGCTTATATTGGCTTGGTTGTGAGGCAGCACAACTTAAGTTTTCCTGTTAGGCAGTGGCAGAACTACTAATGTCAATACAGTGGTGGTGTCAAACCTTCAGCCAGTGGTGACCCCTCTTGCAAACCAGTCGTTCAGATGAAACTTCTGCTCATGAGTCAGGAGGTCCCCAACTCAGCTCACTGGCAATTTAATAGAATGTGTTGGATTTTCAGTAAGTGCATGCTCTGTTTTGTCCATTGTTCCAGGGAGCGTTGGTCTCTGGCAGAGGACAACGGTAGGTAGCTGGAAGCAGTAACCCTGGAACATATAACAGCATTTTTTGCCAGAAGACATTTAGTAGCACTGCAGGTCACAGGATTTTGAGACTGAGACAGATTAAGAGTATGCACGTGGTCCATTACTCTAGTTACCATGACCACCTTGGTATATTTAGGTTGGCTCTTGGCTACCAGCGCCTTCTTCTAAGTACTAAATCAGTCTCCTTTTCCTGGATGAAGTAACCGTGACCCTCCAATGGATGAACAAACCGTTCTCCTCTGGAATGAAGCAGATGTGTTGCTGCCAGTGGGGTGAAGTCTGCTGAAGTGAGAAATATACCTTTTTTTCAAGCTGAGGGTAATTTGCAAACAATTTTTCTTTTTTTTTTTTTGGTGTTTTTTTTTTAATGTTCTTGCATTTACTTATTTATACTTTGTTTGGAATATGTCTTTGAGAGTTAACCAAGTGTAAAAATTCAATAAAAGGATTAAATTTGAGAAGGTAGGCTTGCCAAAAGAAGGCAGTGAGAAAAGGAAAGAGAGGGGATTGGTGTGGCAACAACCACACAATCTTTACAGTAACAGAAAAGATACTGAAGTGGAAATATAAGCACTAAGCAAAAATACTTTGTTTGGAATATGTCTTTGAGAGTTAACCAAGTGTAAAAATTCAATAAAAGGATTAAATTTGAGAAGGTAGGCTTGCCAAAAGAAGGCAGTGAGAAAAGGAAAGAGAGGGGATTGGTGTGGCAACAACCACACAATCTTTACAGTAACAGAAAAGATACTGAAGTGGAAATATAAGCACTAAGCAAAAACCTGC